GAGAGAGAGAAAGAAAGAGACTTCTGAGACCTCCTAGATGTCTTGAACTTCAACAAGAGTGAGGAAACAACTGTTTTACTTTTGTGCCTTTCAAATTCTCCATGAGGTGACCAGGACCTTCTCTTCCTGGCTCTGGCGCAGTCAGTCTGGACCGTCTGCCCGCAGCTCCCAGGGCAGCCCTGGGTCCCCGCAGGTGGGTGTGTTGCCGAGGAGCGCAATGCTGCTGCTGCTGCGGTTGCCTAGCAACAGACGCTCACACTGGGAGCCGGAGCCACTCTGCTCTTGGTACCCTCTTCCCCAGCCCTGCTCCCGCTGCTTCAGGTGGCCAGCTGGTACACCTGATGCTGATCCAATGGTTCTAAACACACATGAGAATCGGTTTCCCAGACCAGACTAGAAAAAGGTCAGGTGATTGGGTTAAAAAATGTTTTAAGGTGTCTTGAATTCCTGCCTGAAAATAGGCTAAGATTGGCTTTGCATTTTTTGTAAGAAATGTCTCATCACTGTATAAGGAAAGTGCTTTTATGTTTTAGAGTGTTGGCAATGTGTTGTGGCACACAATGCAGGTAATAGTGCGAATGTTGCAGCCAGGCTACAAGGGTCTGTGTCCCAGGTACTCTTCTTACTCAGCCTCTCAGCCTCTGTAAAATGATGATGACAATAGTTCCCACCTTTTAGGGCAAATACCAAGTAAATTGTTCCATGGAAACGATTTAACCCAGTGCCAGCAATCACTCCATAACTAGAAGCAGTTTTACAGCACACACATTATCATTGTATTATTAATATATTAACCTTTTGGGTATATTTTGGTATATTTTTCATCACATGTGTTTACCTAATCCTTCTTAAATTTCAAGTATAGAATTTATCTTTAATGGTGATCGCTAAATCTGAACAAGTGGAAATCTTTTGCTATATTTTTAGGGAAACTAAATATCAGACTGCCTTAAAAATGTGGCTTCAGGTTCTAATATAATTCTCCCTTTATAAGTTTTCAAGGGATTTATTTTGTCCCCTGCTCTCCAACATTTTATAGAAATCTTGACATTAAAAAAGTTGGCAAATCCTTATAAAAATCCCACTACTCTATGCTTTTTTTTTAAAAAAAAGCATAGATACATACATTTTCTCGCCAGGCACTGTGGCTCAGGTCTATAATCCTAGCTCTTTGGGAGGCTGAGGCGGTTGGATCACTTGAGGTCAGGAGTTCGAGACCAGCCTGGCCAACATGGTGAAACCCCATCTCTACTAAAAATACAAAAAATTAGCCGGGTGTGGTGGCAGGTGCCTATAAATCCAGCTACTCGGGAGGCTGAGGCATGAGAATTGCTTGAAGCTGGGAGGCAGAGGTTGCAGTGAGACGAGATCATGCCATGGCACTCCAGCCTGGGCAACAGAGCCAGACTCTGTCTCAAAAGAAAAAAAAAAAATCTTCCCTTCTCACTGCCCCACTAGCCATAGCGCATGCTGGGTTGATATTGCCATGTGTGAATATATGTGTTTACACACTCACAAGATGTGAGTTGTGGAAACTGTGCTAAACAGTCTCCTTCCACAAAACTTGAACTTTTAACCTAGCTCAGAATGGAGTCTGACACTGTATGTTTGCTTCTGCCTATGTCTAGAAAAGTAATTCATTGCTTTTTTAAAATGTATTTTTATTTTCAGTAGGAATATTTACTGAAAAGTACTGTACTGAAGAAATGTTTTTTTAGTTTAACGTGTGGTCATGAAATTCCTTTGATGAGAATTCACACTTTGAGCTGGAGTTATCTTTGGCTTTCATAACGTCATTCATTCCCTTGACAAATATTCCCAGAGCATCTCCTCTGGGTCAGGCACTGAACCAGGTGCAGGTGCGGCAGGTACCAGGACAGGCTCAGCCTCGGCCCTCAAGGGGTCTACAGTCTAGTGGAGTTTTGAGGACACAGTTAAACCATCACAATGCAAGGTGATGGGTGGGACGAGCAGAGACTCTGGTGCTCCCTTAGAGCATGAGAAGACATGCTTAACCCCCAGTGTGAGGTAGGCAGTGAGGCCCAGCTTGAGGCTGGAAGGATAACTAGGGGTTGGCCCAGAAAAGAGAGTCCCCAGGTATTCCCAAGACACAAGCAGCACATGCACCCGACCAGCCTGTTCAGGAACTGGGAGTGTTAGGAGGGATGGGGTACGCCCTAAGAAGCGGAGAGTTTATACTAACCCAGCCAGAAGGACCAGGCCCGGGGCTTGTAGATCATGGGGACAGTGATGTGACTGGGTTTGTATTACCGCAGTAGCAGCATTGTGCAAGGTGCACTGAAATGAGACAGGAGGCAGTGGAAACCCTCCGGAGGCCTCTGAAATCCAGCTCTGTTAGTAATCCAAGACCACAGCAGTGGCAGACGCCACAGAAAGAACAGGACAGATACTCAACAGGATGCGGTAACTGTTGGGGTTTGTGAGAAAATAGTCTGGCATAACTCCCACCATTCTGGTTTGGAAAATTAGGGGCCCTTATTCAAGAGAAAGAACAGAGAGAGAAAGGAGCAGGTAGAAGGTGAGGGTGGCACGGGGCATGAGCTCAGTCTTTGGCAAGGTGAATTCCAGACACTGGCGGCACCGTGGGGGTGGTGTGTCTCGGGACGGTGGCGGTCAGCAGGATGGGCTGGGCTAGGGATCCGTGGTGGGTGCGGTGAGAGCTGAGTGGGCAGACTATGGAGGATGCAGTCAGCCCGTCAGGAACAGGTGTGCGGGTTGAGAGGCTGCGCTCAGACCCCTGGGTGGAGGAGCCCGGATGCACCAGCCAGAGGGACAGCCTGAAACCCAGTGCAGTCTCTAGGAGGAGTCCAAGCAGGAGCCACAGAGACGCGAAGAAAATAAAGACCAAACCTCGTGGATGAGATGACCTAGATGACCTTGATGAGAGTATTTTCCCTGTGGGGTGAATGTGGAGGCCAGGCTGCCAGGGACTGAGGTGGGAGTAGCAGGAGGGGAATACAGGCGGGGTCAGACGCGACCTTTCTAACTCTTGGCTGCGGTGGGCAGGAGAAAAACCGGTGGAACTAACAAGGGGCGTGAGATGGAAGGTGTTGTGTGGTTCAGGTGGGACACAGTTGAAGGTGTTGGCTTGCTTGAGGGAAACCAGCCGGTAGCAGGAGAAGTTGAAGCAAGAGTGGAGAGGGGAAGGTGCCCTGGGTGAGGGGCGAAGGTCCACAGGGCAGCGGCGGGCCTGAGGGTAGGGGAAGCGCCTCTTGGGGGACCGGGGCGAGCTGGGGTCTGTTCTCCTGAAGGCGGCCAGCTCCGCAGTGAACAAGACCGTGTAGGTGTCTTGGAAGGTGGAGGGACGACGGAGCTGAGCAAAGACGAGTAGAAGACAGCGCAGCGCCAAGCCGTCAGCTGGGACGGGAGCAGCCACACACAGGGAACAGTGACCTCTCCACGCCCACGGCTGGCGTCCACGACTTCGGCCCGACCCCCTCTTCTGACCTCCTTCCCCCAAGTCCAACACTGCAAACGCCGAGCTGCCGGCTGCGGCCCTATTGGAGGGGCCTCAGTAACAGAGGGCAGGTGCCAGTCTCGCGCCCTAGTTCCTTCCTCTGCTACAACTCCAAGTTCGAGGCCACAGTGCCTTCTGGAAGAGTGGTAGTGCTGCTTGGGAGCACTGCACAGGAGAAACGGGGGCTGGAGGTAAAGACAGGAGGCTCGGGAGGCGGCGACGTGGGCGAGCTGGAATAGTCTAGAAGCTGAGCAGAACAAAGGCGGTGTGACTGGTGAGCCTCGGAGGGATCCTCCTCCCTGCTAGAATATGCATGATCCTGCGGGAGTCTTCGCCCGCCAGGAGCAGGGACGCGTCCGAGCCAACACGGGGCGCGCGCCCAGGCGCACTTTCCCGGCTCGGGGTG